AGTTCATGGGATAGTTAGACATAAGACAGTGAGACACACTTCACAACAGAATGGTCTTTGTGAAAGGATGAATAGAACCGTTCTAGAAAAAGTGAGAAGCATTTTGTCATGTTCTAAACTGTCAGTTAAGTTATAGACAGAAGCAGCCCATACTGTAGTCTATTTGATAAATAGAACATATTCTTCAGCTATAGGTTTTAAGGTTCCACTTGAAAAATGGATTGGTCATCTTGTAAACCTGGAATCTTAGAGTTTTTGGGTGTCTTGCTTATGTTCATGTAAAGGAGGACAAATTAAAACCTAGAGCCATTAAATGCATCTTCTTAGGATATCCAGATGGAGTTAAAGGCTATAAGTTCTGGAATTTAGAATCTAAGAAGTGTATTGTAAGTAAAGATGTTGTTTTCAGAGAGGATATTCTACCTGGTTTAGAAGGTGAATCTGATGTATCAGAGAGCTATTATCCAGGATTAGATCACTTAGAACTAGAAATGCAAATCTAAAATTTTAGTCCAGGTTTGAATCAAGGTGGAGTTGAGGACTCAAATGCTCATGAGAATGAACCAAATGCTGATCATGAAGTAGGTCAGGAGGCACCTAATGGAGATGTATCAAACTTGATAGATTATCAATTATCAAGGGATAGAACTAGAAGAACAATCAGACCTCCTAATAGATTAGGTTATATAGACCTAGTTGCTTATGCACTTCAGGTGGAGGAAGAGATGAATGATGAGTCTAAGACCTTCTAAAAAAGAAGTTTTAGGACCTGAAAAATTAGAATGGAAGAGAGCAATTGAGGAAGAATTTGATTCTCTGATAAAGAATAACACCTGGATTTTGGTTGATAAACCAAAGGACAGTAGAGTGGTCAAATGCAAATGGATTTTCAAAAGAAAACTAGGATTAACATCTTAGGAAGCACCTAGGTACAAGGTTAGGTTAGTTGCACAAGGATTTGCACAAGTAGAGGGGGTTGATTACAATGAAATCTTTTCTCCAGTGGTCAAGCATACTTCCATCAGGGTACTGCTCTCACTTGTAGTTCAATTCAATATGGAATTAGAACAACTTTATGTGAAGACAACCTTCTTGCATGGGGATTTGGAAGAAAACATCTTAATGGAACAACCTGAAGGATACAACAGTGCTATAGGTAAAGTTTGTCTGTTAAAAATTTCATTACATGGTTTAAAACAGTCACCACGATAGTGGTATAAGAAATTTGATTCTTTTATCATTGAAATTGGATTTGATAGATGTAATTTTGACAGTTACTTTTATTTTAAAAGAATCTCTGATCTGATTCAAATTTTTTTACTGTTGTATGTGGATGATATGCTTGTGGCATGCTATGATAAAACTGAGTTGCTTCGACTGAAGAAGTTATTGAACACCAAGTTTGAAATGAAAGAGCTGGGACAGGCTTAGAAAATTCTTGCCATTTCTATTAACAGAAATAGAGCTCTTAGAAGCCCGAAGTTAGTTCAGTAAGACTATGCTAAGAAAATTTTGCAAAAGTTCAATATGCAAGATGCAAAGACTATCCAAACTCCTCTTGAAGCCCATCTAAAGTTTTCACATGAGCAGAGTCCACAGACTGAAGAAGAAAAGCTAGAGATGGTAGAAATTCCTTATGCAAGTGCACTAGGGAGCTTGATGTACTTGATGGTGTGTTCAATACAGACTTGGGTTTTGCTGTAAGCCTTGTAAGCAGGTTTATGAGCAATTTAGGAAGGTCTCACTAGATGCCTCTGAAGTGGATTATGAGATATTTGAAGGGAACCAGATTAGTGGGCATTGTGTTTAAGAAGAATCAAAGTTATAATAATTGTGTTGAAGGTTTTGCTGATGTAGATTATGCAGGAGATATGGATAGGAGGAAGTCAACCTCTGGTTTTGTTTTCACTTTGTGGGGAAATACTGTTAGTTGGAAATCCAAGCTACAACATATGGTTACTTTGTCTTCAACAGAGTCAGAGTATGTGGCATTGATAGAGGCAGCAAAGGAAGCTACCTGGTTGAAAGGTCTTGTAAATGAGTTGGGTATTGAGCAACAAACAGTGAAGATAAATGGTGATAGCCAGAGTGTAATCCATCTCTGTAAAGACCAAGTATTCCACAAAAGAAGCAAACACATAGATGTTCGCCTTCCTTTCATTAGGGAAATGATTGAAAATGGGGAAATCAAGATTAGAAAAGTTGATGGTTTACATAACCTTGCTGATATGTTCACTAAACCAGTTCCAGTTGAAAAACACAGGCTCTGTATGAGCCTTCTTCAAGTTTAAGAGTGAACATATGCATTCCAAGGCCACATGGGGTGACAAATCAAGAAGCCAAGGTGGAGAATTGTGATGATGCAACTTCTTATTTGCCACGGTGGAAGTCAACTTTGGTGTTAGGAGTCAAACAAGTAGTGCGACGTCGTTTTGGATAAACCCATATGAATATTGTGTTTCGACTATCACACTTCTCATGCTCAGCTTTCTTTTTTCTCTCTCTTTACCTCGATAGTTCATGACCCCAAAAGAATCTTCCAGATTGCTATTCATCTTACGGTTATGGAGAAATCGAAGACAGGTGGAGGCTGATCAAGGAAGGGTGCATGTGTATTTAACATCAATTGATGCTGAAGAAAAGAGCAGATCTCATATTGGGAAAACCTAAGGTTTTCGGATTGGGTGTGTTCTTTCCCTCTTGTAAAGTTTTTCTTCTTTGATTTGTTCATCATCTTGTACACTTTAGTTATTAATGAGAATACCCTACTGTGAGCCTTGGAAAGTGGATGGAGGCCGCAAAGCCGAACCACTGTAATTGTTGTGTCTTGTGTTCTTTTGCTAATTCTCTTTATTTGCTCATAGCTCTATTGATTGATTCTCTAAACTGATTGATTTATTTGTTCATAGAGAGTTAGTTAGTAAACCCTAGAATTCCAACAGCATGCAAATATGGGAAGAAAATATGTGACATTAATTCATATATCATTTGGATATGGAATGAAAATATGTGAATTATTTTCTTTCCTAATTATGCTAAGATATAATTTCCTTTACTTTACTATCAAGATTGTATACCATTAAGAATATACCATCATGGACATAGATTATGGTCTGCCAATTTGTATTCACACATCAAGTTGGGCTGGCCAAATTTAATATAAATTAATTTCCATCTTCTCTGTATAAGCTTATGATAGATATCAAATGTGGCATTGATTTAAAAATTAATTTTACAGCAAATACAAGCTTTTCCTATGATGGGAGAAATTAAAATTTCTATTGTACTAAAAAGTAAAAACATTTTTTATTGATATTTATTGACTTGCAAATATGGGAAGAAAATATATGACATTAATTCACATATCATTTGGATATAGAAAGAGAATATGTGAATTATTCTCTTTCGTAATTATGTTAAGATATGATTTTCTTTGCTTTATTATTAAGATTGTATCATTATTTGTAATATTTTATTATTGAGATTGTAATATTTTATAGCTATCACACTTTTGTATAAATAGGTTGTATATTTACAACTTAAAACAATTAAATTGAATTTCTTTCAAATATCTTTCAGGCATACTCCGACCATTTCAGTTGTCTCTCTTGCCCCTCAAAAATATCTTTCGGGCATACTCTGACTCTTATCAATTGTCTCTCTTGTCCTCTCAATTCTGAGAATATTGTAAAGTAAGTAATTTTAAAGCAGTAGATAAACATCCACTACATGAGATGTGAGAAGCATCAGTTACAAATATGAGATATTTCATCTTTTTCAATGAACTCAAGTTGGCCGAAAGTCCTATAAACAATATGAAAATTAACTCATACTCTAGATTTGATTTATAAATTTAACATCCAAACCGGAGAATTTTCAAATATAAGTGATATATATACAGTACATTGATTCATATGAATCATAAGCCATGAATTGTTAGGATAATAAATATGGATTAATTTCCATATTCAGGCTTTACTTTTTACTCTATGGGTGCGTTTGGTTAAGGGAATGTTGGATTACTGAAAAATTAGATTACCTTGAAGATTACTGGGAATCTTGGTTAGTTGGAATAAATTGGTGGGTATGTTATTTAAATTACTGAATTGTCTTCTAATTAAATATTATTATTTAATATTGTTATTTAGATTATTATTTGGATTATTATGACCCCCTTACATTTAAAAACTTAGCAAAAACAACCTCATAATAAAAGTTTGGAAAATCAACAATGCACCCCCACCAACCTAGGCACTACCGATCGCTGGCAGCTAGCGACCTAACGGCACATGGAAGGCAAGAAATGGCCTCCGTGCACCGTGTGGCCATTTCTAGCCAGAGATTTGGCCGAAAATGGCCATATCGGCGCATGACAACCATTTCCAGCCTTTCGTGTGCCATTCCGACAGCGGCGGGCAGCCAACGATGGAAGGTGGGTGGGGGTGGTGGCTTGGGTGGGCTGCAATTTGTTTTGAATTCAAGGTTGGTTTTGTTCAAAAAGTTAATTAATTTGGGTGAAATAGTAAAAGTCATATTCATATAAATTAATTTAAAAATAAGGGTATTATTGTCCTAATTTTTTTTAATAAGGGATAAAATTGTAACAAAAAGAAATTACCTCAGTAATCTTACAATACCTAAGAAAATAGAGGTAATCAGATTCCCTCTAATATTACCAATAGTAACTACTATTGGTATTTGAAGATTACCGGAATCTTATATTACTTAACAACCAAACGTGATAATCAAGTAATATAAGATGACATAACCCCAGTAATCTCACGTAACCCTCAACCAAACGCCCCCTATGTGAGTACTTCTATGGATCTAAAAGAGCTTTTAATAATAAACGTAGAGAGGATTTATATAATTTATTTATCCCCCTTATAATAATTAGGATTAGACTCACTGAAATAGTGTTTGCTTCTTAATTAATTATCTCATTTGATTCAATCTAAACTCACATTTCTGGTACAGAGGTAAATGAACTATTAGCAGGTCTAAAAAAATTTATAAACTGGCAGGGTGTTCGGATAGAAAACTCCAAAGTTCTGCTCTACCCTGGATTCTTTGTTATTCTCATTGAACATTTCATAAATAAATACATCCAAAAGATTGTCTGGTCTTCTTGGTGTTCCTCCGCTTAACACATGAGAGTAAAGATTTTGATCGTAAATTCGTGCATTTTCCTTGCTTGTGTAAGGCTTTTTCCCAGCACTCGCCCAACCAGTCCCCGAAATGTAAGTAGAAACATTGCCTGCGTTCACCTTCTCCAAAGCCACATAAACAGCATCAACCATTGCATCAAAGAGATTGTAATACTTGAAATTTCCATCCACCACCACAGGCTGTTTGGCATTGAATTTTGCATACTCGAATGAAATGTGTTTCGAGGTCTGAGGCGTACGCAAAATAAGGGTACACATTGATCATAAAGGCGCACCGGTGCGCGACAGAAATGCTGTAACATCATTTGTTGATGCGAGATTTTGCACCGACGAAACGCACGTGCGAAATGTTCCAGGATCCGAGTAGGCTTCTTTCTCTTTGTTTGTATTTCTGTTTTGTTTTTGGTGAACTCATTGCACTCGAAGCGTGTTCGCTCTAATGACCTGGTTTTTCTTTCTTGAAAGTTAACAAGACAACTGAAATAGGGCTGCTCCACGACAGAAGAAGAATCTTGCAGTTCGGCTCCCTTCCTGAGGACAAGCGTGCGCGAGGACACTTATGACAATCGCGAATTTGCGAAAGTACGGTTTCTTTAACGCCAGCGTGTTGTTAGAGCCTCCACAATGTAACTTTTCCTAACTGATTCTTTTCCTGGTCGTGGAACAGAATGCCTTCACTAACCTTGCCTTGCATGTAGCAACAACCATGCCACCGAAGGAACCAGAGCAACCTTGCCAAAGGCCCATCAACTTTCCTAGGATGAAGAAAGCTAAGGCGGCCGAAGCTGCACAAACAGCCCCCCAGGCTGAGGGCGCAACCTTTTAGAATGTCCCAGCCACAACCGGCAGAAGATGCACCAACGCGAACCACGGAGGTCGCCCAGCCATCGCCTGCTCGGCCAAGGATGAAAACCATGGCTTAGCAAAAAAAGAGGAAGCAGATTCAAGCTGAGGAATTGGAGATTGAATCTGAAAGCGAGCAGCCAAAGAGGTCACGATCGGACACAAGCAAGGCGGGCAAGGCGCCTATGGATGACACGACGGCTGCTGAGGCTGCGAAGAAGGGTCCCACAGTGTTGGACTCACTGGGGAACCTGCCGGAGTACCTGCAGCCGGTTGTGTATGCCCTGCTGGAATGCGGACTTTCGGAATCTTTCGAGCAGTTCGCAAGCTCTAGTGACGTGGACCTAATGTTCACATAGATCCAGCATATAAGCAAGGTAAGCGAACTATCCTCGGCGAGGACTTAACTTCTTTTTATTATCTAACTCTCTCTCCCTTTGTTCGCAGGCTCTTCTTTCCATGAAAATGTCCATGGAAAAGATACAACTGGGAGCTGCGAAAGAAGGTGCTACCCTGAAGGAAGAGAACGCAGCGCTTAAGCGAAACTTGGAAGCTGCCGAAGCAGAGAGAAACCTGTCTCTCGAATCGACGAACAGTTATTTGAATGAAAGAAACGTGGCTCTTCGCACGGTAGATTTCCAGAAAGCACAGCTCGAGAAGCAGGGAGAGGAGTTAAAGAAGCTACAAAGGACCATAGCCAGACTCTCCAAACAGGCCAGGGAGAAGGACTAGGAGCTGAAAGCGACCTCCTTGCAGGTCGAGCGAGCAGAAAAGGAGAGGGGGGCCTCTGAGAAGCTAAGGCAGGCTCTTGAAGTTGAACTTCAGGAGAGTTAAGGGAAAGTTGCTTCCTTGACAAAGGAGGTCGAGGAGAAGGCTGCCGAATGGGCAATCGACTCTATTTATGCCTTACGACCAAAGAATCCTCTTCTAGACATGTTCGACCTCCCAGCAGACTGGCAGGAAACACTCATGTCCATGGCACGGGAGGATGATGAAGTGACGGCCTTCCGACTAGAAGGTTCGGGACACGCAGCAGACAAACCCTCAGCTGACCAACCCTAGGATGAGGAGGTCGGCCCCGTAGGGGTTGGATTAGGTCTTGTAATCATGTTTTCTTTCCTACTGTACTCCATAGTAATGAAATACATTTTTGCCTCTATAATTTTCTGTTCGCTTTGTCATACATGAGTTCTTTCCGATTGTTTACATTCATTGAGTCAAAGATAACATAACTTATTTGCACGAAATGGATTATACATAGAGATCGTTTACAAACGCTCAAGATAAAAACTTTACAAAGAAATGACTTACAAAAATTAGAAATTAATTTACAAGGAAAGCTGAGTTCGGAATTACTGATAGTATGGCCGAAGATGTCTAGCATTCTAGGCCCGAGGTACCTTGGAACCGTTTAGTCCTTTGAGATGATAAGTCTCCGGTCTGATTACTTTATCAATGCGGTACGGACCTTCCCAGTTCGGCCCTAAAACTCCTGCACTTGGTTCTCTGTTTCTGAGGAGAATTTCTTTTAACACCAGGTCGCCGACCTGGAAGTCTCTTCGCCTGACCTTTGAATCGAAGAACTTCTTCGTGCGTTGTTGATAGGCTGCTATCCTTAGCGAAGCCTTGCTGCGATGTTCTTCAATAAGGTCCAGGCTCACCCTTATGAGTGCTTCGGAGAGACTTTATCGGTCTCATTGTACAAGTCTCTCCGAAGCGAACCAGTCCCTACCTCGACGGGAATCATTGCTTCGCACCTGTATGCTAGCGAAAAGGGTGTTTCTGAGGTGGAGGTCCTTGGAGTTGTTCGGTATGCCCATAGGACTTCAGGGAGGTCATCTACCCAATTCCCCTTAGCTGCGCCAAGTTTTGCCTTCAAAGTGTGCTTGATGGTTTTGTTGACAGCTTCAACTTGGCCATTTGCTTGCGGTCTTGCCACAGAGGCGAATTTTTTATGGATGCCTAGCTCGTCACAAAACTGTTTGAATTTCTCATTGTCGAACTGTTTTCCATTATCTGAAATGAGGGTATGAGGAATTCCAAAACGGCACACAATATTCCTGAAAACGAAGTCCTTCAGCTTTCTGATCGTGATGGCGGCTAGCGGTTCGGCTTCTACCCATTTGGTGAAGTAATCTACCGCAACCACGGCATATTTGACTCCCCCTTTTCCAACTGGCAAGGGGCCAATGAGATCGATCCCCCACATGGAAAAAGGCCAGGGGCTAGTCATGGTTATCAGTTCACGGGAGGGAGCTCGCGGTATGCTTGCGAACTGCTGACACTTATCACATCTTTTGACAAAGTCGTAAGCATCGTCTTGAATTCAGGGCCAGTAGTACCCTTGACGAACAACCTTGTTTGCAAGAGATCGTGCGGCGGTGTGATTACAGCAGATCCCTTCATGAATTTCCCTCATAATGTAGTCCGCTTCTTCGCTGGTTACACATCGAAAGAGAGTGGCACTAAATCCTCTCCTATACAGCTGGTCCCCGATGAGGGTATAGTGAGTGGATCTTGTTCACAGGACCCTTGCCTCGACCTTGTCGTCTGGCAAGATCCCATTCTTGAGGTACAAAAAAATGGGAGTCATCCAAGAATCAGAATGAGTCACATTCACGACCTGTTCGATTGGGCTGATACTTGGGGTTTCGACGAGCCGAACATGAATGCTATCTGGTGCCTCTGAGTCCAACGAAGAGGCTATCCTTGTCAAGGCGTCCGCCACAGAGTTGTTGTCTCTGGGAATCTGAGTGATTTCAAAATGTTTGAACTGCTCGAGTGCGGCCTTAGCTTCTTTCAGATAACGAACCATGTTCTCTTCCTTGGCTTGATATTCCCCCAAAATTTGGTTGACGACCAGCATGGAATCGATGTACACACTGATCACGATTGCGCCCATTTCTCTGGCCAACCGCAACCCGGTGAGCAGAGCTTCATACTCAGCCTTGTTGTTGGTCGCTTTAAATCCGAACCGAAGAATGCCATGAATGCGAGCCCCTTCGGGGCTCAAAAGAAGGAGACCGACACCGACCCTTTTTCTGTTCGATGACCCGTCGACGTAGAGGCTCCAGGTCGACAAGTTCTGAATATCTTCCTGAATAGCTTCGCCTGGCTGTTGCTCGCTCGGAAGATAGGAAAATTCTGAGATGAAGTCGGCAACTGCCTGCCCTTTTATAGTCGATCTCGGCTTATATTTAAGATCGAACTAGCTTAATTCCATGGCCCATTTAAGTAATTTACCCGATGCTTATGGCTTTTGAAGGACTTGTCTGAGTGGGTAATTAGTCATCACATGGATAGTATGGGCATGGAAGTAAGGTTGTAGCTTTCTGGAGGTGATCAGCAGGGCATAGGCTAATCACTCCATTTCTGGATACCACATCTCGGCATCCGTCAGGCACTTGCTCGCATAGTACACTGGCCACTGCGCCTTTTCCTCTTCCCGAATCAAAGCTGCACTAGCTACGAACTAAGAAATAGACAGATATAGAAGCAGGATTTCTTGTGGAAAAGGCTTGGACAGGAGAGATAGTTTCGCGAGGTGTTCTTTTATGCTTTGAAACGTCTGTTCACACTCGGGTGTCCACTCGAACTTCTTGTTGGCCTTTAGGACATTGAAGAATGGCAAGCAGCGATCTGTTAATCTTGATATGAAGCGACTAAGTGCCGCTATTCGCCCGTTAAGACACATGATCTGCTTTTTGCTGGTCGGGCTCTCCATGTCGAGCAGAGCTTGAATCTTCTCGAGGTTTATTTCTATCCCCCACTGGTTAACCATGTACCCTAGGAACTTTCCTGATGATACTCCGAATGAACACTTGAGAGGATTCAATTTCATCCTATACAACCGAAGGATGTTAAACATCTCAGTGAGATGCGCAATGTGCTCTGAGGCGACCTGGGATTTGACTAGCATGTCGTCCACATAGACCTCCATTGTTCTTCTGATTTGGTCGGAGAACATTCGGTTAACCAATTGCTGGTAGGTCGCGCTAGCGCTCTTGAGGCCGAAAGGCATGACTTTGTAACAATACAGCCCCCGGTCTATAATGAAGGACGTATGCTCCTCGTCTGGCCCATACATCGAAATTTGATTGTATTCTGAGTATGCAACCATAAAACTAAGCAGCTCGTGCCCTGAGGTGGCATCCACGAGTTGGTCAATTCTTGGCAAGGAGAAGCTGTCTTTAGGGCAAGCCTTATTGAGATCGCTGAAGTCGACGCAGGTTCGCCACTTGCCATTTGGCTTCTTTACCAGAACCGAGTTGGCAACCCAGGTCAGGTAGAGTGCCTCTCGGATGGACCCATTTCGGAGGAGGTTGTCCACTTCTAATTTCAAGATGGCATACCGCTCCAGATTCATTGCTCTTCTTTTTTGGCGAACTGACTTGGCTTCACTATCGATGTTTAACGCATGGCAAATGATGTCTTGGCTGATCCCGACCATATCTGCATGCGACCAGGCAAACACATCGATGTTTTCAATCAGGAAGCTTATCAGCTCGGACGCGACTTGGGGGTTGAGACAGCTTCCAATTCTTAACACTAGGCTCAGCTTTTTTGGATCAACTGAAACCTCGGACAGATCCTCAACTGGGCCGTTGGGAGGGATTTTTTGGATTGGAGGATCTATATTATCCTCTGTTGGGCCAGGTTGTGGCTCGATCCGGCTGATCGTCATAGCCTGGCGGAGCACATATCGCGAAATGCCCTTTCCTTTACACGCCATCTGCACTGCTTTTATGTATCAGTCGTGAGATGCGCTTTGCTATCTGCTTACCTCCCCTATCCCTGTTAGAGTTGGGAACTTCATCTTGAGATGGTATATGGAAGTGACTGCCTTGAAGCTTCTCAACAGAGGTCGCCCCAAGATTCCATTGAAGGCCGATGGGCAATCCACGACCAAGAATTCAGTAACCCTAGTCATCGAGCATGACTGGGAGCTGGATTATTCTTTTGGGGATCAGGTGGTCCCTGTAAAGCCGTAAAGAGGGATCGATGCGGGCTTCAGGTCGGCCTCGTCCAAGTTCATTCTTTCGAAAGCAGTCTGGAACAGGATGTTCACAGTGC